GATGTGTAACACAGTCTTACACAAAAGGAGCTCCCTCAAACATGGAGGGGAAAAATCCTCTCTTCTCCTTGGTTTTGATTTTTGGGTCTGGCAAGTAACCAGAGGAAGTCAGTGACTTCATATACTCTTCAGTAGCCTTTAGTAAGGGTTTCAATATGTATGTTATTTATGCAAACTAATGAGTTCACAAAATAACACTTACCTAAAATGTAGATCTGTGCCTGCACCATTTTGGGAGCTGCTATCCCATTGACTCATCAAGGAAGAAGTTGATTGCTCTGGACAAAATTTTGAGTAGAATTAGGCCAAACACATTACAGAATTTAGTCTTATTCCCTTGTTGAGCCATGTAAGTCCTTCAACTAGTGTACTCTGTAGACCATAGATGATAATTAAGCACAAATTATCCACTGTCAGAGTGAAATAAAGCCAGTTTGTTGAAGAGCATGTGTATCTCTGTGTGCATACAGCAGGAGACAGCAGAACAGAGCTGGCACCAGAGAGCTCACTGAAGGAAGAGCCAAAACTAGCCAGCTGCTCCCACTTACCTGCAGCCTCAGAGTACCTTCACAGGGAGTTCCACAGACAGGTATAAGAAAGCAATTAGGTAGTCGCTTGCAAGCATTAATACCCACTTTCAGAATACTGTATCTAAAAATGAGAATCATTTAAGTATATATTGTATGATAAACTATCACCAAATTCTGTTTCGAGAAAATCATTTGCTTGTCTTCAGAATACAATCTGAATGAAAGGATTGAAAACCGCAAGCATATGTGGAAGAAGAGTGTCTGCTCCTTTAAGGGTATCTGGTCAAGGACCTTTTCAACACAAAAAAAGGGGTAAGAAGGGAGGAAACCATAAACAAGATCATGAAGGGACACAAAACTGACAGATAAATGATAAAGAGAGGCACTGTATGTTGGAGTGTGAGAACGTTTATTCCAGAAAGGTAATCCAATGGAGCACATCCTATATTAGGATGATAAGGAAAAGGATGGAGACAAACACAGATATAAAACCTGACCAATTAGCATTAACAAAGAAAATAACCAGAAAAAAACAAACACCCTGGTCATCCACATTAATTGTTGGGCTATCAAGAAACTGCAAGCTATATTGCTTTTGGCTGGGAGAGAGTTAATTTTCTTCATTGTAGCTCACAGGGTGCAATGTTCTGGATTTGTGACCAAAACAGCGTTGACAACACACCCATGTTTTAGTGTTTGCAGAGCTGTGCTTACACGGTGTCAAGGTCTTCTCTCTCACACCGCCCTACCAGCAAGGAGGCTGGGGGTGCACCAGAAGATAGGAAGGGACACAGCCGGGACAGCTGACCCCAACTGACCAAAGGGATATCCCATACTGTATGGCCTTGTGCTCAGCTGGGGGAAAAGCAGGAGCAAAGGGACATTTGGAGGCATGAAGTCTATTTTCCCAAGCAACCGTTACGCGTGCTGAAACCCTGCTTTCCTGGAAATGGCTGAACACCTGCCTGCTGATGGGAAGTAGTGAATGGATTCCTTGTTTTGCTTTGCCGGTACATACAGTTTTTACCTTACCTACTAAATTGCCTTCATCTCGACCCACGCATTTTCTCACTTTTACCCTTCTGATTCTCTCCCCCCATCCCACTGGGTGGGGGTGAGCGAGCGGCTGCATGGGCCTGAGCTGCCTGCTGGGGTCAACCCATAACACAGGCTAAATGGAACTTTGCAGCTGATAAAGATGAAAACCTCAGGGACCAGCACCTTGGAGGCAGGTGGAAATACACAAACTGATGAGGTCACGTGCAGGGCAACAGGGAGCAGGGAGGAACAAAGCGGGAGTAGGCAGAAAGGCCTACAAAAGGGGCTGGTCAATACACTCATCACTGCAGTCCGTCCTATATCTTATGCAGCCCTTTCTTTACTATCTCTGCATAACCTCCCTCGCTATCCTGCGTGTCTACATGCTGCAAGGACTAGATACCAGCCACAGGGGGGAACACCATGTGTGGGACTGGTGCCAGCTACAGGAGTCAGACTGGGGGTGTAGGTGCCCCAAGGCTGTGGTGTCAGCTACTGGAGGGATTGTGGGGGTCCCAGTCACAGCCACTGGGGTGGGAATTGTGCGTCCCAAAAATCAGCTGCTGGGGGGCATGAGCGAGGCAGTTGCAGGGCTTGATGCTAGTGGCTGGAAGAGGATGATGGGGTCACAGCCTCTGTATCTGATGCTGGCTGATGGGGGGCAAGTATCCGTGTGTTTCCCAAACCAGGTGTGCATGGGGACTGTGTTTGCTGTCAAACTTGAAGCTGGATGAGCCAGTGAGTACGAGAGGCAAGTCAGGGCTGGGGTATTTGGCAGGCGAAGGGTCTATGCTTACATCCAGAGCGACCCATGAATATGGGATGCCTGTGGGACAAGAGTGTTACTGCTGCATGTTTGTTAGCAAGCACCAACCCAGACAAGCTAGGGAACAGGGGACCCATGGGGCAGGTAAGAAGGCCAGGATCTGGGCAGGGGTACTAGGCAGACAGTGCCAGTACTCGAGTGATCTACAAATGTATACACGATTCTGAACCTAGAAAGCACTGTGTGTGTACCTGCACTAATTACCTTCTGTCTGCCACACGAAGAGGAGGAATGTGGTTGCCTGTGCTTGTTTTACATGGGTCCTGTATGTGCGTTAGGAGAACAAAGTGTTGGAGAGAAGCTGGATGGTCTTACAGCTTAGTCCCACCAGTGGCTTGTAACTCTGTTTTGCTTTGGTGGCTTAAGCCACAACAAAAATTGTCTGTCGTAAAACAATTGGTTCATCATGTGGAACCAGCTAGGGCTGTTAATGAGAAATATTTCTTCTCATTGTGTTAGGGAGCAGCAAGAGTGAGTCTGCTCCAGGAGCGAAGAGGAACCGGGAACAGAGAGTGGCCACAATGGAGGCTAGGCTTCACCTCTGCAGCTGGGACACAGGCCTGCAGAACCAGGTGGTGAGAGCCATGGCTCCCATCCGAAGACAATCCATGAAATCCAAACATCAATTCATGAACAGGTCTGAGCCCAGGCCCACCTACAACACAGCTTAGGGGAGTACAGGATGCCACAGTCCGAGCTGAAATAGGATCTGTGGGCTCATGGACAAGGCGTTGGGTAGGGATCCCTGGTGAGGCTGCTTACGGCCACTAAGACCCAATATTGCCCTCAGGGCTCTGACAACTGGATTCACAGATGGTAACAGGTTTAAACGTGAGTAAGTATTATTTTCCCTCTGATAAGCATGTATATGTCAACTGAAGGGCAGGGCTGAGCTGCATCCTTGTGCTGTATTTATGTGCAAAGGGCAAGAAAGCACTGGGGCTGGGGAGAGTTCACCTCTGTTGGTCTCTCTAGCCACCTCCCCCCTCGACTAAGAAATGGACATCTCACTGCATACTCCTGACATGTACCAGCATTACTCCTATTTAATTTTATTTAAAAAATCCAACACATTTTCTTGCAGTTATAAACAGAAATTATGTAGCCCACATAGCTGAGAGGCCATTATTACTAGTTCTTACGCTATACCAGAAAAAGCTATTTCCATCAGGTTATACAGAATGCTTTTTTCAAAGGAGAAAATCCAAAGCTTTCAAAGCCTACTTTCATAGTGCATACTCTGTATCATGACATTTTTTTCCCTATCTCAGGAGAAAAACCAGGAATATTTACCACATACCTCTTACCATGCAATTGCTGTAACCTGGTGTATGGCTATTATAATCTTACACAGATTTTTGGGGTAATTGCAGTTGCCCATGAAAACTAACAGGATTTGGAAGATGCTTTATAGCTAGTCTGATAGAAATGGTGGAAGAAGACAAAGAAGCATAACAATCCCAGACCGCTGCTTCTCCATTTGCATCTGCAAGAACAGAAAGATTAATTGCTCCCTTAACCTCAGGGTCCCTTGGAAAGCAAAAAAAAATCAAAAAAAACCAAAAAAACCCCCACAAACAAAAAAACCCCCAAACACTTCTGACCATGACACGAGTTACTGTCTAGCAGAAACTCCTATTCCGATTTGGCAGTAAAGACTCACTCACCATTTCTAAAACAAGAAGTTTCACAAGATTTTCAAAATTCTGTGGAACACCAAAGGCTATAAGCAACATGGCTGGATAACAAACACAATCACACATGGAACAAGGAGGAAAAAGACCTCAGAAGATAATCAGGAAGTAGAAGCAGGGGCAGTACTTTTTGTCAGTGAGACCTGGTCATCCTCTTGCCTCCTCAGCATCAGAGCGTAGATGCAATCCCACCATGTCTGATGCCATAACGACACAGGTCATGCAACTCTTTCCATATGGAAAATGGAAAAAAAATGTGATCCACATCTGTCTTGCCTGAACACATCATGATGACCCACATCATCTTGCCTGAACTTGCCCTTTATTTCACACACATCCTCATATGATATTCATTCTGTATGTAGAGACCTGCACTGTCCACATTAACAAGGTTAATTCAGACTGTTTGTCTCACCCTCTCAGGCCAAGAGCTAAACACATCAGTCCAAGCACTAACAGAACTACTGAGATATGTTGGAATAAGTCAGATCAAAAGATACAACTAGGTATAGATCCTGCTGACCTGTTGGAGCTCCTCAGCATGTTACACCATGTTACATGCTGGCAGCCACAGGAAGCTCCTCTGCCTCAGACACATTTCTGCCGCACAACAGGTGGCAGCATCAAGTCCATATACATCACTCTTGGAACAGAATTCAAACCAGCACCACTTTAGGAGGGATATGCTTACCTGCCCAGGCAAATACCAATCTGCCAGGCATCCAGAGGGCTCTCCTGCTCCATGGAGGTACGACAGCTTGCTCGAGATCCCTTAACTTGGAGCTGCATTGTCCAATTACTGAATACACCCAGTGGCAGCTCCAGAGGTCAATTCTACCTTTATGTTTGTTGAAGAGAAAAAAAATACTACATTGCCACCCCCACAGCTCAAAGCACCCCAAAAGCACCTAAAAATTTCAGTTTTGCTCCCTGTAACATTCAGATATGCCAGCTCCCCAGTGTTGTGCCTTTCACAGCATGTAACTCTTCACAAAAATGGCCTTCTGGATGTGGAGATATCTTGAATGATTTCATAAATATGGAAATAAAGTCCATGTGATGGCTGCATCTAACAGCATATCACATGAGAGTACTCCAGCAACTCCTGAAAGTTTTCAGACTTCATGGAAAAGGCCTCAGGTTAGAAAATGACTGAGATTCCAAAACATTCAGGCAAGTGCCGGAATAAAATACTGAAGTGAAACATCCTCATGGAGCAAGATGAAGTGGACAATTCTTTTACTTACAATATCTATAAAGAGAAAAAAAATACAAATCCAGTTTAAAGCAGGAAAAATATTTTAAAATTACATCTTCTACAGAATGCCACCACAAGAATACAATGCTTCTACCACTTCTGACACAAGGATGACTAGACATATCATCCTGTAATATTTAAGTCTTTGAGGGTCCATAAAGCATTACTAAAGAGTCTATGAAAGATCCTATCAAAAAGGAAACATGTAATCTACAGGCCTATAATGCTATACCCATGATTTAAATCTTCTTTGGGAAATTCTTGGCATCTCCACTAAATCATAACACACAGATGTTCTCAGGAAAAGCACAGAGTTATCACAATAGGATATAAAACCCTGCATAGGCTTCTGCTAGAAAGAACATATAGTTTCTACAGTTAGAAACACTAGCTGCATAAAAAGCATTTTGGTATTAGAATCAATTTGGTCCTGAATGTAAGCAAGCATCTGAGAAAAACACCCAAACCAAACATGTCAGTAAATCCCAGTTTCTCTGCTAGAAACTAGGGGCTTTAAGACTTTAAAAAAAATAATACTTCAAAATAAGAATAAAAAAATAACAACTGCCAAACAAAGACAACAAGAAGGCACCTATGATTAGTCAGTCTGAGTATTCAGCTTGATACTTATAAAAGGGCCTGGCTTTATTTCTTTTTAATGTTTGTTTATTTTTTCTTCTGCCTCAAACATCTAAGGCCTGAAGCTTACTGCCTAAAAATAGAAATATTAGAAGTCCTCAGGTCCAGTAAAAATAGTCAAGTTTCAGACAAACAAAACAACAGATATGCTGTTCTGCTGAGACTACGAGTATGGCAAACATCACTCCTTAACCGGAGTTTGCAAGCAGAGCTGTTGAACTTACTGCACAATGCTTTCGTGGGATTGACCTGCTGTCCAGCAAGCAGCTGCTGTAGCTTCTTGATGTCTATGCGTGCCTCAGCCATGCTTTCCAGATCTCTGCCTTGAGCAGAACTTTGACATCCATCCTCTGATGCTAAAAGCATAAGAACACAACACTTAGTCAAAACATCAAGGAGTTTCAACACCTATAAGGTGCTGAACACCACCTATAAGGACACACCTGATAAATGACTGAACAGCTGGTACTCAGATAGGTTGTTTTTCAGAAACAACAGTGCAAGGAAGAGAAAGCCCAGCTTTCCTACAAAGTTATCAAGGACACTGGAAGAGATTCCACCCATAAACATGAAATAGCCACTTTTGTTCTTAAGGTTTCATTTGAAGACTTCAAAGTACTTGATGATATTTTGCAAGAACTAACAGCAGGTAAGTACTGTTATCAGCATCACACTTCAGTAATGAGATCAGACAGACAAAAGTGCCAACAAGCAAGGAAACTTACCCCAGGGAGGATTTCCCAAATCTTTAAAATGTGTTGTTACAGATACTAAGTCAGTTTCTATTTTCAAGTTCATTTCTCCATTCAAGTTTGCTTCAATCACCTGCAATACAATCAATCTCAGTTTTAGGCAAGCCACTTCCGCACTCCAGAATTACAGAAGAATAAAGTGCAACCTTGTTCAAATACAAGCTTCCAGAAGCACTTCAGTGCCTTCATAGCTCAAATGTACTTTTTGAACATGGTTTGAACATTTAAATGTTCAGCAATAAAATGCATTTCTCATCATTCCTGTGTGAATTATCCTAGACCAAACTCCCTGAAATTATGAAAAGAAAGAAATTCAATTGCTTCCATTACTTTTAGAACAACTACTGGCTTTGAGAAGTTCATGTGCTGAGGAAAAGGCTTTAGAAATAAGAGACTGGAGCTGGAGAAATGCAAGGTTTCCTGCACTTCCATCCAGCTTTTCAACAAACAGCAAGACACCTACATAGTCCTTATGACATACACAAAAAATGGGATGCACCAACAGCTGACCTGCAGTTGCAGCGTTGCTTTTGAAGACTTGAAAACAGACAACAGCTGCACCGGAGCAGTAACTCCAAGCAGGACTTTGAACTGCTAGGAATCCTGGAAAAGCACTGAAAGGTTACAAATTCCATCCTGACAAAGTGTCCAACCAGAAGGAGACTATACATGATCTTACACAAATTCCAAGCGGATCACGGGATTCCTAAAGCACAGCTAAACACTTCATTTCTGTGATTAGAAGAATTCTCAATAATTTTAAAAGAGGCTCATATCACAACCAGAATCTCCTATAGAATGGGAGATGCCCACACATGAATGCTCCTGCAATGGACAAGTACTATTTGAAAGAGCTTCTCAGCCCTTTTTGCAGTACTGATCTCGACCAGTTCTACTACCAGGATGCATCTAGCACAAATATTTGTGACACCTGGTGTTTTTATTCTTTAATAACATGAAAGCATGTAGAGGATGCATGTAGTCCACCTCCTCCCTTAGAGCTATCAAAGCTATTTCAGAGAGATTTATTTATTTTCCTGCTTTGGAGCAGGAGGTAAGGAACTTAAGTAGGTGGATATGCCCAGTCTTGATATGCTGCCTCTTCTGAGTGTTGCCAAAGTTCAAGTGAACCAAGTTCAATCCCGTCATACAGCAATTCTGTGTGAGAAGAGATCCTGAACTCTGGAAACAAGGCAGTTATGCACTGTACTTAGTTGTGTGTAAGCATTTTCACTGAGGACATGGAGGAAGGAATGAGAGAAAAAATAAACCCCCCAAAAGACTGACAAAGGAGAAGAGTTTGAAATGCTAACTCTTGTATTTGCAGGTTTAACTGCCATCTGCAAAATAGCCAGAAACCCAAGGTAATCTCTCAACTCTTCCAAGCCTTAGAAGACTGAGACTGCCCCAATTTCAGGATTCTCAGTATATAGAAAATTTCCCATTTATCAAAATTGGTATGAACAGCCCCAAAATCAAACTATTCCAAAGCTCTATGCTTACTCACTGACTTTCATCTCAGTCAATTCTGGTGACTCTGAGCAACAATAACCACAAAAAAAACCCAAACTCCTCTTCTGGCCAGCTGCAGAGGGCTTGTATCAATGGAAGGCCCACCAGCACTCCAGAAACCCAGGGTGGACTGGAAACCCACCATCTCAGAGCCTAAAGCACAGTCTGACGTCCAGGAGCTATTAGTAGGACTTCCTTTAAATCCTACCTCAAGTTTACCTAAAGTTCATTCACACAGACACCTAACACAAGTCTCACTTAACAGGCATTTCTATAATGAAATCACCTGGAAAGTCTCCAGCTAGCTTCCTGAAGGACTGCAATTTCTTACCAGCTACAAAGAGTGCCTTGTAGCAACACAATAGCCTGTTCTTTCACGGATTCAGTACAAAGAGCACAACATTCTGGGAGCCCACGACAAGCTCTTCAGTGTAAACCCTAAAATAAATCCCATCATTCTCTTCAGCCCTTACACAGTCTTCAGGTGCCTTTAGTTCAATGTCTGATTGATCCCAAAATAAGATGTAATACAGGGGCACCAGTTTGGGCAACTGGGAAACATGCTATGTACAAGATAAAATAAGGTCTGTAGGACACATGCCTGAAGTGCCTTAACTTACAATGGAATTGCTGAGATTCTTCATTCTCTCCACAACACTCTTCATTGTTTTCAGCACTGGTAGGTAAATACTGACCTAGAAAGACATAAGAACTGCATTCACACAAATATTTCATGTGTGACTGGTATGTGATGCATTTATTTCTCTCTTCAATTCTATCTTATTTTGGACTTAGTTATCAACTGAGTGCAGGGAGCACAATATTTAACTGAAATCAGCAAATGACTCGGGAACAGAGGAACTCTTTGCTCTCGCAGCTGCTTCAGACGTCCTATGCCAAGTCTGTGTTCAAAATAAAGTAGAGGCAGGTTTTTGCAGATCAGATTCTCACATGATGTGTGATTCTCACATTCTCTGTGTTACTGAGCAGTTAATAGTTACTATAGCCAAAAAGGAAAGAACATGATTCCCATGGTACTATAATCATTTCTGCAATTGCATCAGTGTAAATCTGAAACAGGAGAAAAAAATACATCAAGCTTCTACTCAGTCAAAGGTCTTCAGAATTTAAATGCTCTTAGCTATAGAGGTAACTGACATCCACAACCTCAAATAGGAGCACATTTGCACACAGACATTTCATTGCAACTCTGCTAAAAGTCAAAAAGGATACAGAGAAGATATATAAATATCAGGACATATATATCTAACTCTGCCAGGCAGGCCATGAATTTTAGAAAGAACAGATTACTTGGGCCACTTGGTACCTAAACAGCTGAAACAGTCTAAACCTGTGTGGTTTGGAGGTGCTCCTTCCTACAGCCATGCAACTCCTTTGCTCCTCCCTTCTTCCACCCTGAATATCACAGCAACAACTGGTAACCACCTGCTGTTTTTACAAGTTCCAGACTCTTGTGTCAAAATGGAAGCTATGTCCCATCCCTCTCCAAACCTCTACCCTCCAGCCTTCCCTCTTTCCTTTCACCTCCTCTCCAAAACCCACTGGTAGCATACTCTGCATCAATAGCATTCCACTTGCAACCCCCACTTTCTGTAGGGAATATAAAAACAGAGGCTTACATCAAAGTCTGGCACACTGGGCTCTCTGAAGTCATTCCATAATCTTCTGGGAATAACCCCCACAGGAATGTCATGTGTCACAATTCTATTGCTGCTTGATAACGAAGGCTTGAAGGAGAGAGAAGATGCTCTTGCAGTTAAAAACAGGACTTGAAATCTGAATTCAAATTTTTCAGACTGTTATGGGTTTGCGTGGCAAGGTTTTGGTAGTGGGGGGGGCTACAGGGGTGGCTTCTGTGAGGAGCTGCTGGAAGCTTCCCCCATGTTTGATAAAGTCGGTGCTAGCTGGCTCTAAGACGGACCCGCTGCTGGCCAAGGCCACGCCAATCAGCAACGGTCGTAGCGCCTCTGGGATAACATATTTAAGAAAGGGAAGAAAAAAAAAACTGAGCAGCAAAACAGCTGGGTAGGGAGAGAGGAGTGAGACTTTGTGAGAAAAACAACTCTGCAGACACCAAGGTCAGTGAAGGATGAGGAGGGGGGAGGAGGTGTCCGAAATGTCAGAGCAGAGAGCCTTCCCTTGCAACTCGTGATGAAGACCATGGTGAGGCAGGTTCTTCCCCTGCACTCCATGGAGGTCCACAGTGGAGCAGATGTCCACCTGTAGCGCATCGAAGGGATACCACGCTGGAGCAGGTGGATGCCTGAAGGAAGCTGTGACCCCGTGGGGAGCCCCACGCTGGAGCAGGCTCCTGGCAGGACCTGTGGACCCGTGAAGAGAGGAGCCCAC